TTACTTTCTCTAAAAGGTAACAGGTGATCTGATGCAAAAGCAATGACACCTACTAAGACTTCTCATGAGAATGGGATTAAATTGTTGTAAGTGTCATATATTTTTTGAAGTGGCATAATATTAATACTAAGTAACAAATGATAAGTTAGAAAGTGTGTATTGACTCTTGAGCAATTACTAAAAATAAAAGAAGTATTGCTAAAAAACCAAGAGGAAAAATATTTTTAAACATTTAATTAATAAAGTGGCAATAATGGAAGAACAGAAAAACAAAAATAAATGAGACAAACGTAAAACAGATAATAAAATGGTAGGTTTGAAATAGTAGCAACAAATATAACAACCCACATTATACAAATAAAAGCAATGGGGCAAATAAACAATAGATAGCAAGAGGGTAAGATTAAATTCAAACATTATTAAATGGGAAAAGACTAAACACTCAAGGAAAGTATGACCAAGCCACATACTCTCTACAAAAGATGCACGTAAAATACAAAGTTTAGGTCGGTTGAAAATGAAAGGATGGAAAACATATCTGATGTAAACAATGAGCACAAGGAGAAGCTACTATACACATATTAATATCAGACAAAGTAGTTATGAAGCCAAGAAATATTAACAGAGATAAATAAAGATAGTGAGTAATGATAAAAAGATCAATTCACCAGGAGGCATAAAATCATAAAATGTGCTCATATCTAATAACAGAGCTATAAAATACAGATATGAACACACTTAACCTACAGTAGACCGTAAAAAGCTTCTTAGGAACGCATACCTGAGAAAACCAAAGAAAAAATGAGACAAATCTATATTATAATTAGATTTTAGTGTCCCTTTTCTAGTTCTTATTATGTCAATAGGAATACATAGAAGGTCTGAACAACATTATCAACTTCCTAAAACTAATTGTTGTTTCAAAAAACACTAAACTGAATTGAAAAATACATGTTTTACTTAAAGCGCACATGAAACATTAACCTACAAAGATGAAACTTATACTAGGCCATAAAAGCAACTCCATAAATTTGAAAAGACAGAAATAAATATGAAAACATTTAAAAAAATCATATAGTCCAGTATCTAACCACACTAAAATCAAATTAAAAATCATTAACAATAGAATATTTTAAAATATCCTCTAATATTTTGGTGTTAAACTATATGCTTCTGACTAACCCAGGAGTAAAATAAGAAATACAAGAGAAATGTAAAAATGTTTTAATATCAAAATATAATGTATCAAAATGTGTGAGATGTAATTAAAGCAGCAATTTAAAGGGGAATTTGTAGCTTTAACATTAGAACAGAGGAAAGAGTTAAAAATCAGTTGTCCAAATTTCCATCTTAGGAGGCAGAAAAAGATGAGGAATTTAAAATCAAGCAATTAGAAGGGAATAAATACTAAAAAGAAGAAATCAATAAAATAGAAAACTATCAGTAGTGAAAATTTACAAAGCCAAAATGTGGCTCTTTGAAAAAGACTTTAAGGAGTCCTAAACTACTAGCAAGACTGATCAAGAATGAAAAATGGGAAAAAAATCACAAAGCACCCAAACTAGCAACTTAAGAGAAAAAAGAGGACTCACTAAAAATCTATAAATACTAATAGGATATATAGGAAATTCCATAAATTACTTGAGGTCAAACAGATTTACAATTTAGATAAAATGAAAGAATTTTTTGAAAAGACAGTTTTCCAAAAACTGAGACATAATAGAAATTTTAACTGGGCATGTATCTATTACATTTATTGAATTTGTTTTAAAAATTCTTCTGACAAAGGAAGATTCATACACGGATTATTTCTGTGTGAATTCTATCCACAATTTTAAGAAAATAAGATGGAAAGAACTGGTCAAATATTTAATACATTTTATATTTTTGAATGGATAAAAGTGTCTCATTCATGGAAAGAGACTAAAAGATCGAGGCTACAAACCAAAGGCCACATCTATGCCATGTAAGGAAGATGTAGCTGAAATAAAAAGAGAAAGGTTGGAAATACAGGATATAGAATCGCTATTCCAGGAAATAGCTTATAGAATAAGAGAAATGTCAATAATATAAATTCCTGACAATAAAGAATTCAAGTGAAAGGTATTCAGCATTAAAAATATATATTTTTATTATGATTCAGGCACCAAAAATTTAACAATCACAAATTTTTATGCACTCCAGAATCTATTTGAAATAAATAAAGCAGAAAGTCTTAAAATGTTCAAATACATTGACAAACCTACAGTCCTAGTTGGAAATGTTAATATATTCTAACATTGACAGATCAAGTAAGCCAGCCCATTAGGGATTTGACTAACTCATAAGACTCCTTCCATAGTTATATTTAGAGAAACACTTTGTTACCAGCATAAGAAATACGTATAATTTTTAAAAATTCATAAGACGTAGACTGAGCATACTTATCACATCCCAAAAGAAAAATAAATTGTCAAAGTATAATAATAGAGGCCACAATCTCTGATAAATTCTAATGAAATTAGAAATAATAAGAACCAACCAAAAATAATATTC